GAGAAACCTGATATGCATGTTACCAGGGCTGCCAACTGTATTATGGACAATCCATTATAAAAAGACTCAAAATGCTTGTCTTAAAGCCTAAAAATGAAGAGATCTGTAGAAAACTAAGTGTAATCTATGTGTAAATTTTGGGCACACTGATAACTGCAGCCTGTTCTGAGTGGAGATTAAGTCACCCTCAGCTCTGTAGAAAACTAAGAAACAGTGAGCTTGATTGAAGATCCATTATCAGAATGAGGCTGGATGCAACTGTTGATGAAAAGATAAAACAGAGCAGTGAAACCTGCAGGGAGCTCTCCATCAGGGCTTTGTAGCCCACAAAAGTCTCTGTAGCCCTCTTCCCTGGACATGTGCTGCTGTCACCTGCCTGTAATAGTTTCTGCCTCAGAGGTAGGCAGGGCCACCCAGCACCAGGCAGTGCGAGGTGCTGAGTGGAACAAGGAGGGGAGCAATGCAGACGGGCTGGAACTGCACAGCTAGGAGGTGTGGGGGGAAAGAGGCAATAGGTAGAGGTACATGCTAGGGTGGGGGGAGTGGAGCCATCAAGGATAAGGTTGGGTAAGGGTCAACATGGCTCAGGGTGCAGTCAGGATGTGGGGATGAGTACTGGAGCCATAGGGAAGAGGCAGCATAGTGTAAAAACCATTGTGTCAAATAAGACTGTTAAAAACTGGTATTACACTTCTACATTTGACCATGGTTCTTGTTACTGCCATCCAGGGCCTGGCAGAGGGGTTACATTTACATTATGTCAAATACATATCAGTAAAAAAAGTCAGTAAAAAAATGTGGATGTCGGTAAAAAGTTATCAGATTGTCAGTAAAAAAAGGTTTTCTTGGAATGGCAACCCTGCATGTTCCACACATTTGAAAATTAAAATTTTTAAAAGCTGAATTGCCTTCATTTTTGTGGCTTTGTTTTCTCTCTGCATTCTTCTCAGCTTGGACAATAAAAATAATATAATGTGGGCCACTTGGGGATTGAGGTGCTGACTGTGGTCAGGAGGAATGAGCAAATTCCAGGGACAAGCAAGGTCAGGAAGCCAGGAGGTCAATCCAAGGGCAAGGTCTAGGAACAAGCCAAGTCAGGTAGTTGGGGATCGAGCAGAGAGTGGAGTCAGAGAGCAAGCTAGATTGAGAAGCCAAGAGATCAAGCAAAAAACAAACCAGAAAGACAAGCAAGGCAGTCTGAGATCAAACTGAACCTTATTGCCCAGATACTTCCTGTTTGAAGCCAGGGGTTTATATGGGGGAAGTGGAGAGTCAGCTGACCCCAGGTGGCCACTCCCGTGACAGGGAGTGGGCAGAAGTTCAGGTTCTGCTGGACCAGCTTTGACCAGGCAGGGTGATTAGTCACAGAATGGCAGGCTGAGATGAACAGGTGTATTGTCAGGCCAAAACTCCAGATTTGAGGGTGCAGCTTGGCAACTCCTTCTCTACCTTAATAGTATCAAGTCCCATTGCACTTGGCATAGCAGAATTGCCGACCACAATTTTTATCTCAGATAAAATCTGGGACTCTAAACCTTACTCAGAAATCTGTGGGAAGCCAGAGTGGAGAGCAGACAGATTAGGGTGAGGCAGAAAGCAGAAGCTGGAGGAGGAAGGGGGAGCCCAGAGACTTGGCTGCTTTGGAGCCAGAGCAATGTGTGGTGTGGAAACCAAGCAGGAACCTGGGGGCTACAACTTAATGCCTTGCAGGCCACATGGGGACTGTAGTACACCAGCTGGAAAACCTGGCTGAACTATACTTCCCTCAAAGACAATAGCATGCACAAATCAGTAAAGCAAACAGATTGGTCTTGGAAAGTGTAGATACATGCGGCTCCCTTATGATGGACTTGTTGATTTGCTCATACAATTTTCCAGCATTGCATTCGCATCATAAGTGGAATAGAGCAATCTAAGACAACTCTTCTCTTTATATGAACCAAAAAAGGCTACATATCAGTGCAGCAAAGCCATGTTCCAGGGGCAACTGTGACACCCCCTGCTCAGCCCAGCCCAGCCCAGCCCAGCCCAGCCCAACATGGAAAACATGCTGGGACACTCTGATTTAACTTAAGCCAGGATGGGGTTTGGAACAGAAGTTGCATAAACTGGTTTGACCCAAATCACTTAAGTCTGATACTATATTTAACCAAGTTTATCTTAAACCAGTTTCAGTCATTTTGAAACTGGTTTATGCGCACTGAGCTTCTGTTCTGTTACCTATTTAAACTAGTTTCTGATCTCTTAAACCAGTTTATGTGTAATTTCTGTCCCTAGCCCTGGTGCCCACGCAACCCCTGCCCTGCTCCAGCTTTTCATATATTAAGTATGTATCCTGCATGTATTATAGACAGACATACAATAACAATGCACAGCATATACTGCCTTGATATCTGATACAGTACTTCCAAGGAGTTACAAGTGCTGGAAAGGCTCATAGCACAGCACAGGGATCCTGTGTCCTGGGAAAAGAAGCTGCATAAAAAAGAGAGAAGTTGCATCCCACTGATCTGCTGGTCTCCAGGAGTTCATCGGGGGGTTGAGGTGAAGAATGCCTGCTACGTGGATGTGAACTTAGACTGGGCAAGTGCTTGTGCACTTGGAGCTGGGCAGTCTTCCTACTGGCAATACAACAGTGCTGCCCCGGGCTCCCATTCTGCAAGCCTGCATAGCATTTGGGTGATACCTTATAAGATAAAAAGAAACACTCCCACCCTCCAAAAGCAGGGGTTTGGTTGGTGATTCTGTACACGCCGATTCATTGTCCAGGAAAACCAAATCTCAAAAATCGATGCTATTTGCAAAGAACCTCCTATGTGCTTTGATGGAAAGTTAACACTCCAGAAACAGTTTTTCAGTACAGATAAAGAGATGAAGTTAAATGTGTTTGATCAAAGCACCTTTATTCACCCTTATGGAGGCATTTATCTGAGCATTTGCATCAAGAGAAAAACAGGGAATTGGTTTTGATGGCTGTGCAGTGTTGCTGGAGAGCCTCTGTGTACACAGCACTCTCTAGGCTCCTAACGTCTTCCCTTGATCTGCACCACCCACTTGTGCACAAACAAGCATGGACATCCCTGGGGCGTTGTCACAGGTTCCCTCTCAGCTCTGGCTGGGCTGGGATCATTGCACTGCCCATGCTCATGTCCCATTCAGCTGCTGGCCTTCTAACCTCCAGTGGCACTCTGCAACTCCTGATGAGCACAGGACAGAGGTTTGGAGCAGAATAACAAAGGTATGCACAGCTGAATGAGCACAGTGCTGACAGCCAAGCCAAGCTGCTCCCACTGAAATCCTGAAGTCTGCTGTGAATTGCAACGGGAGCAGGACCTCACTCCTTGAGCTTCTGCAGCTCTAACAGGTGGCTGTTTTTTGCAGCCTGGATGGGAGCTCCTGTTCATAAGCTTGTCATCTGGGTTTCATCTGATGGCCTGCCCCTGCTAGAAGCAAACTCTGCGTTAGAAAATAGATGTCCCCAACCCTGTCACATAACCTGGTGCTGGCACAGTGTAGGCTGCAATACACCCGGTTCTGTTACATGGAGACCTTGGGATTCACTGATCTATCCTGCTTTGACCTTTACAAACACAGCAACTATTTCAAATGCCTTGATGACATTTCTTAGGTTACTCAAGAGTTTCCCTCAACAGTGGTTTCCCAGGGAAACAGGCATATTTTTGAGCTTTAAATCCAAAATGCATTAAAGTAAATCTAAAAGGAGACAAACAAATTAGATTCTGAAGCAAACTCTGGGCCTGAGCCTGCATGTAGAATTCAGTTTCAAAATTATAGCCAATTTCATAGATTTCATAGACATTAGGGCTGGAAGGGACCTCAGAAGATCATCGAGTCCAGCCCCACACCTGAAGGGCAGGAAGTCAGCAGGGGTCATAGGATCCCAGCAAGATAAGCATCTAATTTACTCTTAAAGGTGTTCAATGTAGGTGCTTGAACCACCTCCGATGGCAGGCTGTTCCAGACCTTGGGGGCTCAGACAGTAAAGAAATTCTTCCTAATGTCCAGCCTGAAACGGTCTTGTAGTAGTTTATGACCGTTCAACCTCGTCATCCCTTGGGGTGCTCTGGTGAACAAACGCTCCCCCAGATCCTTGTGGTCACCCCTGATAAACTT